AAGTTGTGGTAATAATGTGAATTAATTTTCAATTCTTAATTAGTGTTTTAAAGGATTTCTTATGAGAACAAAGTGTATTTTTAAAAAAGAATATTTTAATATATTTTGTAGATTTATATTTGTGTTCGTTTAAATATTATGCAAAACAATAAATAATTTATCTAATTTCGTAAACATATTCAAATTTTGCCAGAATTATAACAATATTAGATAATATAATTTATTTTAAACTGTGCTACGTCTTTAAAAAAATTCTACTTCTGAAACAATTTATTTAAAAAAAAAATTAACTTAGAAAGTGCTGATGTTATTAACAACTATAAAATTATATAAAATAAAAGAAAAAAAATATATAAATATAATAAAACTTATTATAATATAAGAAAATATTAAATATTTAATAAAAATTATTTTTAACATTTCTACTTAATTAAAAATAAAATATCTTATAGAATATCCTTTGCAGTGTTAATGAATTAATTAACTAACAAAGTGTTTATGTTATTAATATCACCAAAATGAAATAAAATAAAACAAAATTTATATCAAAAATTTAATAAATAGTATTCCTAGCACTTCTAGGAAATATAATAAAATTTATTATAATATAAGAAAACATTAAATATTTAATAAAAATTATTTTTAACACTTCTACTTAATTAAAAATAAAATATCTTATAGAATATCCTTTGCAGTGTTAATGAATTAATTAACTAACAAAGTGTTTATGTTATTAATATCACCAAAATGAAATAAAATTAAACAAAATTTATATCAAATATTTAATAATTAGTATTCCTAGCACTTCTACTCAATTAAAAATTATAAACCCTATGGAATATCCTTTCTGGTGTACATTATACAGTGTATAATCCAAACGAAAAGTGTAATAAATTCACCTTTGTCAAGAAACATTCAAAAAATTGTCCACAAATATCCTTTGTCGTACAGTTTGAAACATAAAGTGTTATATATATATATACTTTTTTCTAACTTTTATAAAAACTTTATAATCTATCATTATAATAATTGTGGAAATAAACAATTGCAAAAACAAAAAACGTTCTTGATATATTAATTAAATTATAAAACAATTATATTTACAATATGAAAAATCGGTCATTAACAATAAATAAAACGCAAAAACAAAAATATTTCAACAGTTTCTATTAAATAAATATAATATAAATTGCCAATATTCAGTATCTTACGTTTATTGTTAATTTTAAATGTATTACAAAAAAACAAAACCTAAATAATATTCAGTCGTTAAAAGGCATTGACCTGACACTAAAAACTAGAAACACCGTTTTACTTAAACTCATCATTTTTTTCACTTTTTTTGCTTTATTGAATTTTGCTTTTCGATTTTATTTTAGGAATCCATTTGCATAAATTACTAATTTTATTTTAAATTATATTTTTCCATTTTTTTTTTGTTTTTGATATTGTAATATACATATATATGTTATTTAGACTTATTTAATTACATACAATAAATATAATTTTATTTCACCTTAGCGCTTAATTAATATTCACCTCTGAGGTGATTAATTGCGTATAAGTGTTATACTCGCAATTTGAATGCTCGTGTAATTATTGCAATGTATTTAATATTCATAGAACATTTTGTTTTAAAAGAAAAATTATAATTTTAACATAATTAAAATTAATATTATATTAATAAATTTAATATAAATAGTAATTAATCTTTTTAAACGTACAAGAATATATAACCATAAAAATTGTATTTAGTGTCAGTGCAATTTCAAGAAGATACCAGACTTTATTTAAATAAAGTCTGTTATTTTTTTTAATATAATTGATATATTATTTATTTCCTTCAAAATGTAATAATAAAAAAATATATAAATAACACAATTATTACGTAAACGTGAAATACTGAAAATAAAATATTGAATACTTGTCTGTAAAATGGCTAAAAAAACAGTTATTAATTGATGAACTCTTGATACTTAATTAAAAGTTGTCTTATATGTATAATTATATATAATATTTGCATTAATATGTTAAATTAGAAGCGAGTAGCTATGTTTTAGTTTGTCAGATAATTGGCATAAATCTGATAATATATACTCACTTACAATTATAATGCAATTACAATCAATAACACATTTTTTTATGAAAAACGTATTGTTGCATATATGTCGGGTTAATTGGGATGGTGTAAACGTACTGTAAGTTAATATGCGAAATATAAACATTTTATTGGAAATGAAAAGCATATTACACACTCTAATGCACTCTGATCTTGCCGATCTTTAGTTATTCTTTTGCTTCTCTACCTGCCAGTGGAGCATGAGATTTCAATGTCTTCAATCTCTGAACGTTTATATCAAAATATATCGTTTAGAACTCGATGATAACTCATTATGTTTGTAATGTATCAAACGACGTAGTTGGTAGGTTAGTAGACTGAATCTAAACGTGCTTACTAGATAAACAACTGGAAAATCAATTAGTAGTGAAGATGTCGCAACAAAATGATGCGAAGAGCTAATAAGCGTCATAGAGAGTCACCACTTTAATCAGCTATTATAGCCCCTTGTGCAATGTAAATTTTATCTACGGTTTTTACGAAATTGAAACTCCTAACTTAGCAATTATAAACTGTTTACTTTTTTATTTAAAATAATTAATATAAGTATTTTTGTAGTGGATATTTTTTTCTGTTCTCATATTTTAAATTTAAAAATAATTTCAGAATTTAATAAAATTCTTTGCGAATAATTTCAATTTAGAAAATGTTTATATCTTTCTAAAACTACTTATATATTAAACTGTAAGTTTTAAGTTCTTTTAAACTATTTTGAAAATATATATATTTCCTTTCAGTAAATCGTCAGCCTCACCAATCACTACTTTTTTTCATAAATGAGCTGAACAACATATAAAAGATCTAATACCAACTTCTTATATGTGTTATAATATAATATTCTTATAATATAATATTGTTTTCTTATAATTATGTACTTACCAGATATTTATTTAGTATATAAATCTAACCAGAATTTCTTGTTTCAAAGAAAATATCTAAAAATTTAATAATTTCTATTTAATACCTATTGTAAACTGCACTTCATCCTTGGTATAACAATGTTTAAAGGATGTAAGGAAAATCCATTACTTCTACTAGAATATAATGTCATGTAAGAAAAATACGTTGAAGTCTTGCTTCTAAACTTCATTAAGCACTCTTTTATGTTTGATTAGGAATATCAAATTTTTTCAGCTAAGTTATTTATGTATATATTATATACTATTAATGTTATATTTCAACTTACTTTCAGTACTCCGCATGTTACTCTTTTTACGAACTTACCACTTCGTCGTAAATTTAACTGTCACTCTGCTGACCTACCTTCAACACTGATAAAAAAAAGCTGATGTTATAATTTAAATGTTATATATTAAAAATGTATAATTAACTTCATCTCGATGTTACTATATATACAATCAAAGGCTTAGTTTCCATTTTTAAATAAAACTTCAAAGTGTTCAAATACTTCTGAATCTACAAAATTGAAGTTATTGCTCGCAATATATTGATATCTTTTTTAACATTTTTTTATAAAAATGAAGATACAAGGATTTTTCTTTCGAACGTTCTTAAGGACCCTTTTCCACTGTTAGCAATAGTCTAACTTTCTGCACCATACAGCAGTATAGACATTTAAATAACTTGTAGAGCGTGATTTGCTAATTTATTTATAATTTAAATTTATAATTTAAACTAATTTATTTTTTCCTCGTTCATCATAAAAATCGTTTAATTGTCTAAATTTGAGTATGGCGCATTCACTGCCTGAGAGTTCAAGTTAATAATATTAAATCATATTTTTGTTTTTCACTTTAAATAATAAATTAGTTCTTAGATATCAGAGAAGTTTTGAATAGAAGCTTAGATTGATATATTGTGTTAATAGTTTCAATTCCAATGTCCAATATAAAATTCTTATTAGCAGAGTGAATTAAATATATTTAGATTAAAAAAAATCACAGTTTTTAAATTCTATATAATGTGTACTCACGTATCAAAAGCAAATGTACATTATGATATAGACCCTTTTCAACAAATCTTACATTAAGTGTACCCAGAAATTTAAGTGTCTTGATCTATGGTTCCTTAACAAAATTTTTACCATAGTATCGGATTATTAGAGTGGCTTTGGTGGATCAAAGACTCCATCTTTGAGTTTCTTATTTTTTATTTAAGTAGCACAGAAGTCGAATACGGAGTGCTATTGTTTTATTAGATACAAATGATAAAGATAATTTTGGAATAAATCAATAGAATCCATTTTCACCCCCCTTATTCTTACCTTACGTAATACAGCAATACGATATATGGTGCAATTGTTTTATAATATTCAGTATGTTAATATCATTTTGAAAGAAATTCATTTCGATGTTAGCTGTAGTAATATTTATTATAATTATATATTAAAAATTAATCATACATTTGTTTACGTTATTGAACAATTATCAAAGTATTTAATACGATATACGGCAATACGATATATGGTGCAATTTTTTTGTAATATTCACTATGTTAATATCATTTTGAAAGAAATTCAATTCGATGTTAGCTGTAGTAATTTTTATTATAATTATATATTGAAAATTAATCATACATTCGTTTACGTTATTATTATCAAAGTATTTAGATATATACAATTTTATTATTTAAACTAATAATAATTTGTAAGCATTTAGCAACTTATTTAATATGATTATTATGAATCAACTTCATAGAACGTTGTCATAGTTTTTGTCCTTAAAAATTAATTAAAATTATTATCTAAACGCTGTTAAGTATTGGCTGATGATTATCTTCATTGTAATATCGTTCGTTCTCATGTTTTTACTACATACTTTGTTTGGCTGCTTACAACGTTTTTTCAGTGAGAAATTATTATTTATATACTTAATATTCATGAGATCCAAAAATAAAAATAATTATTTTGTTCTTTTTGTAGAAAATCCAGTGACAACTGAAAAACTTCAAGTAAACAGTGAAAGTTGTAAAAGTATAAAGAAGGTACAATTTTCAAACGAAAATTTTACAGTGGAAAATAGCAATTGTGAGAACTTAAAAAATCTCAGCATAGATTACAATAGTAACCACAACGGCAATATGAGTAACGATACTGCTGAAAGACCAAGTTTTTTGGTGAGTTATATTCTATAATTATTAAATTCCAATTATTTGATCTTATATTCAAATAAAATGTAAAATATATATAATTTTAGGTTGGCGATGACAATGATGCCACAAACGGTTTTGATGCTCGAGAAGCAATTGACGAGTTTCCACCACAAATTCAAAATGAAACACGGCCAAATGGAGATTTATTAGAGAGACGTAAACGCTTAAGGTATGTAGTTAATTAATAATTTGTTGATTAATATATTAAAAATATTTTAATAAATTGATTAATATTGGGTCTGGTATTTGCACACTATCATTCCTGATCATAGAAAAATGCTAAGATTCCACATGTCTCTTTAAAAATGATCAATATATATGTACATATGGTGTTGCAATTAGGAACACGATCTCCATCGATCTCTTTCTTAGTAACAAGAATCAAGAATATTTCAGCATTAATTGCAAAAAAGTTGTTATCAGTTAGGTCAGGCAACAATAATGACTAAGCACTTTTCAAACACAGAAGGCTAATTCTTCAAATTCATATTGGTGTTGTAATAAGGTTACAGGTCCCCGTTTAATACTTATTGAACATTTATTGAAAAAAAATTCTACGTGCAATAAGAAGTTGACTAACCCAACTTATGCCAGAATACAGCCATTTGCTAAACATTTATTTATCACGCATACATTCATCTATTCTCAATGTGTTCCCTAACCACTTCTTCTTACATGCTGAGGCGTCAGGTGGAGCACGCCATCTGTAAACAGATTGCGCAAGTCAATTTAATTCTATTTATTTTGTGGCTCTATTCCATAAAAGTAGGAAGACTTCTATGTCTGAATTAATCTGTTCTCTTTCATACTGTAAATCTACTCTGTAATCTTTCTCTATGTTCAACATATTTCCTATACTAATCTTCTAATTTATAATATACAAGTGGCAAATATTACTAGTTCTACAAAAAAACAGCCCGAAGTGCAAGGTAACAGCAACAAAATTACTATAAATAAAATTATACAAGTGCTAGTTAACAGTATTGAAAATGGCTAGTAAACTCAAAAAAGGTGCCGTTTGAATTTAATATTTCTGTAGAATGACTGTATTAAACATTTTTAAAGGTGTTTTTTAACAGTGCTTATAATAGCAAAACAAATATTTAAGACAAACAAATTTTATAAAATAATATATGTATATCCCTCATTCAATACTCATGTTAGCTCATATATATATACGTGTAATAAGATAAGCAAAAGCCTAAAGTGCTAGCTAACAGTGTCAAAAACGGCAAAACATGTTTTTGAGACAAACAAAATAGTTTCAAAAGAACAGCACCAAATACGTGCAAAAGTGCATGCTAACAGCACAAAATATAAAACTGAATTAAAGAAATTTACCGTTAAACTTAAAAATTTCTTTAGAATTTCTGTATAAAATTATCAATGAAACTAATTCATTATCACCTTTGAAAGTAATAAAGCTAGATATTGAAAATCTCATCACTATAGAGTTGACTTACTTCCTTGTTGCTTTTTATATTCTTCAATGATGTTTTATTATTCAAATATAGAGTAAAAATTCCGTCTCGAAATTTAAATTGTACAAATTTTTAAATAAAAATAAGTAAATTAACTTTGATACTTAATGCATACGAGATGCATATTGCGCATGCACCTATACATATATTTATTATTATTACAATACAATAGATCATATATTTATAATGGCTGTAATAAGTTATTCGGCATAGTGCATATGTATATAAAGTCCGCTATGAAATCGTGATCGAAATAATCGAGTGTGTTGCGCCGTTCACTGAAAGTATGGAACCCAATGATTTGCTAAAAATAAAGAAAATCAATTGTAAATAAAAAATATTTCATAATACTGTATCCTTATTTAAATAAATATAGAATTAAATAAATATGTGTAAATTATAGAAGTGCTAAAGAGTAAAATAGATTAAAATTCCAAAACTTTCTATCTTATAGGCATTTATTTTTTTTATAAAGTTCAGTTATTTTTTTTGTAACCTTTATATATTTTAATGAAAATTCTACAATTTTCGTAGCATTCAATAAAATTCAAATTACTATACATACACTTATATATATATACTTAATATACTTGCTGTATTCGATGGACTCTACAAGACTTATGTTAATTTTCTTTACATTTTTAAAACAAAAAGAAAGTTCGCTATTGTATTTAATATTAATTTAATCTTATTTATTATTTAGTATGAAAGCACGAATTCTCCAATATATTAAATATTTCAATTAGGTACAATATTAATTTAATAGTATTGATATTCTGTGCACTACTTTTTAATTCATGAAGTTACTTAGAGTATTATTTAAGAAATTATTTTTGATAAAATGAATTTTAGAACAAGAAAGAAATTAACTTTTGGTTTTGCGAAACCTTTAGGGCGTTTTGAACATTCAATTATCAATATCAATTATTTTGTAATATATTTTTACCTACATATATGTAAAAGTTTAATTCTAAAGCAATCGTTAAACATTCACCAATTTTAAAATTTTTAATTAATTCGAAATGAATTTGGTTCACTTAGAAGCCCATGTGCAGTACCTTATTCGTTTAGCTCAAAAAGTCGAAGACTAGATCATGTATTAACAGATAGATAAATAGATGGAAAGCGGAAAACTGATTCGTTTCGTATGGTTAATGTTCATTATAATCAGCAGTTCATATAAAATCTAAACCTGCTTTATAATTTCCATCCAACACTTTTGACCTCTGACTTGACTTTTGTAGTTATGCATTCCGGCATTATCTCTATATCTCTAACCATGTTGTCCAGCCATCTCATGCGTGATCTCTCTCTTCCTCTCTATCTCTAGCCAGATATCTCTCTCTCTCTCTCTCTCTAGCGTGATCTTTCTCTCTCTCTCTCTCTAGCGTGATCTTTCTCTCTCTCTCTCTCTCTAGCGTGATCTTTCTCTCTCTCCCTCTCTCTATCTCTCTAGCGTGATCTTTCTCTCTCTCTCTCTCTCTCTAGCGTGATCTTTCTCTCTCTCCCTCTCTCTATCTCTCTAGCGTGATCTTTCTCTCTCTCTCTCTCTCTCTAGCGTGATCTTTCTCTCTCTCTCTCTCTCTCTACTCTCTCTCTCTCTCTCTCTCTAGCTTGATCTTTCTCTCGCTTTCTTTCTTCTCCCAATTAATTTTGTCGCTAATACTTTATTTGTAGTCCTTACAGGACTATATCTATACAACGAACCCAACTCATTGCATAGTTAAGATTAGTTTCCCTTGTAAATGTTCTAATGAACATTCATTAGTTTCTAATGAACTTTTGAACTTGTATTGACCTATTTTTTATAAATGACTAGAGCAATTATATTAAAGGGAATCAATATATATCTTATTTTTATTTAAATAGTTTTCATAAATCTAGAATTATCTATTTTTGTGCCCAAACCTCCAGTTATTTGTTAACTTGAGTTTTGGCACTGTTATTCCCCCATGAACACTTATTTGGTTATCGACCCATGCCAACGGTTTATTGCCTAATAACAATACCCAGACATGGTGAACGCTAGTCACCAAAAAAAAAAACGCCAAAACAAAAAGGTTTATACTTAGCCCTACAAAATTAAAATCTATCTGATGGCATACTCTACTCCTATCTGCAATTATGTTAGAATTATAAAATATTAAATGTTTTAAATTACAAATAAGTAAATGTAAATAAAAATATTAAACATACAGCCCAGTCTCTTTCTATTGTTAAGAAAGTCAGTCATTTCCGAATTGATCACAAATATATATAGATTTTAATATAGACGTTACAAGTAGAAAGTATAAGTGGAAGAACGCCTCAAGCTCACAACCTTCAGTAGGTTGTGTAGTTGTTCTAAATTTAGCACTGTATCATTCGTATTGTTTACGAATGAATATTTGTTATTCGGAATTTAACTAATGCAAATTAAGTGTTCTTTGGCTTTATGAGGTAATATTCTAGTTGACGGTTCAAATTTGAACGAGGCACTTGCAATTCACAAATTATGTAAGGACTGGTAAACCTTCAAATATTTTCAAAGTCCGTTAATGGAAAAAATTTGACAATAATTGAAACAATTGCATGATCAGCCAAAAAATTTAGTTAATTGCAAATAAAATTTTTGTAATTTAAAATATTTCTTTACTATGTCAAAATAGATACCTCAATACTAAACAATTAAATAGCAGCGCTAATTCCAACCGACATTCTTGAGTTCGAACCTGGATCCTATCCAGTTTCTTTCTTGAGAATTATACTAGAATGGTTTCAAAAACCATTATATATAATAGAAATTATAATGCATTTATTATTAATTTTTATTTTTATTGTAATTAGGATAAATACATTCTATTACTTTATTAGTACCAAAAAAAAGAGACTGTATATATTATAATAAAATATTTTATGTCGTGCTACTGGAGACTACCGACCTGAAGAAATATCAAATCCATCAATTTCTAAAAAAAAAAACAAGATTTTGAAAAAAGATTTTACCTTGTTAACCTTTAACATTAATTTAACAATATTTAAATAATAATAAATTACAATTACAAGTAACCGCTTATTATTACTATTATTTAATTTTTTGATTTTATAATAACCTACACTCATTAGTATGAGACTGTATAGTATGGTATATATATTTATGTATGTTAATAGTACAAAATTATTACATTAAACTTGATAAGTTGGTTATCTTCTATTAGCGAAGGACGTATCTGAAAAATTATATTACATAATATACTCTCAAGTTGAGAGAAAGTTTATTCAACTTCACTCTACATTCTGCAATTATCTAAATCCTTTTATATAAAATTATATATATAAAAAATTCAATAAAACTTTTTATTTATCTATAATTAAAATAAATAAATAGTCCATTTATGATCCGTTGTCTGATTTCAAACAACGCGCATATCATCTCTTAATTGAAATTTATCATATTATGCTATAAAAAATATATACTCATTCATAATGCAAATTATAGAGTGATTTTAATATGAATTCAAAAAAAATATAAGAAAATCTAAATCATTTGTAGTTACTAAAGGTCAGACCTTTTTTTTGTGTAAAATAACTATAAATAGTTCGATATTATTTGTATCTAAACGAATTGATTCATTACGAGTTAAGACAAGTTATTTGTTTTGGTCAGTTGATGTAAATATAGGAGATATATAGGAGATAAACTTAAAGA